ACGCTCACATCCTTTTAATTATGTTTGAAATTATGAACATTGCTCAACATCATGAAAATTAAACCTTATTTTCAATAAGCAATCCTGAAAAATATTTGGGGGTGCTTAACTTTTTTCCAGGTGTATATATACAAGATTAACACATATCTAGTAAATGCTAGGGCATTCTTGAAGGAACAGGACATTTCTAGAAAACGTGGCGTGATACTAGTCACGTGACCTCGCTGACGCAACAGTAATTATTATTTGCATTTTTTATCAGTAGGGGCAGTATATTAATAAATTTCAAACTTCCAATGAAAATATGATTTTATGTAACATTATCGAGCCTATATTGTTAACTTTTTCTTCTTAAATCTACGATCAATGATGTACTTCCCTGTAATCAAATGCTTAACATGTAATTTTATAACAGCTGTAAACCTGATCTGAAGACAAATGAGATCAGTGTTGAGTGGCATGCTTTTTTTTCCTTTCATTTACAGGAAACCACATCTATCCGAGAATAAAATGGTTATAGAGTGCTCTACTGTAGTGTGACACTGAATTATTAAGCTAGTATTAGGCCTTGTTTGCGACTGATGAAAATAATGTCCAATGGAGTTAGGGACATGTTTTAGCTTAAACTTTGAATAGCGTTTGGAATTATGTTAGTAGTTAGCAAGAAACAAGTATATAAACTTTATCCTTTTTTTTTCAGTTTTAATGAAAATCATACAACTAGTTATGTGAAGCGTGACGATTTGAGAAAATATTATTTCTGATAATCATTGGTGGACGTTCACCTCTTTATGATGAGAGGCTAAAAAACAAAAAAACCAGCTGATAAATTTAGTTGCGTGAACAATAAATTTGCGATTTATTTGTTTGTGTATAATTAGCTATATCCGGCGCAGGGATCGAACTACGTATTTTAGCGCTATAATCCTAGAGTTTACCAGTGAGCCACGGGGAAAAAGAAGAGCTAAATTTCTAAAACTGCTTAAAAGCGTTTTATTGACTATATACCGCTGTATTCAGGAGCGGATTTAAGCCTAAATCAGTAAATACCTAGTCAGCTAAGATAAAATGGGGCCCGGCAGGTTCTATTCATACCAATATTATACATCAAGCGAAAGCAAATAATTTCAACGGATAGCTGATTAAATTGATAGACGTAATAAAGAAAATGAAATAAAATAAAGTTAAAGTAATTTATTTCTAAATATATATATAAAGGGGGCCCGGTCAGCTTGTGTTACGACAATTCTTCCACAAAAAATTATGTCTGAGCACGTTAGGGTACCATCAGACGCGATAAGCGAAGCATAACCATATAGGCTTTGTTTATATCTATGTAACCATGTCCATTGAGCTGTTAATGTTAAACTTGACAACATTTTCCTGGTCAGATTTGACTATATGTTATCTGCCTCTGGCAACACTGGTTCTCGCTAGCAATCAAATGTTATTGGGAAATATAGTAAAGGTAATTTAACCTTACCTTTTGTTTATAACTACTTGTGTGTAGTTTAGCAAGTTATATTTGTTGCTGATAGATGGCGTCCTGTTCAAAATTTGCTGTGAGGTTTAAATTCCAGGAATAACGAAATCTTTTTGTGATGTACCATTATATACTTTATGATATATTTACAAACATACGCATAACAAAAGTATGTATTGTAATAATAAAAGAATGCAAACCTACTGAGATCGTATGATTTTACTCAACTAGTAGGAATTGCCTAGAGAAATATCATAATCCTAAAACATCCTTTATATTCTGAAAGTATCATATATATGTATTTACAAAAAGAAAGATTGTTTTAAACGAGCAAGTGTCCAGCCCATGAGTTGTGTGTGTGTTTTAAGCTACACAATAGGTTATCTGTACACTGTGAATATCAAAACCCGATTTTTAGCGTTATTTGTCCTCAGGCTTACATTTAAGCCATCGGGAGTAGCGCGGTAGGTGAGAGCGCCTTATCCCTATTTTCAGAGCTCTATTTTTTTAAATAAAATTACAGAACTTAGGTGTAATCGCCCTACGTTTAAAGTGTCGCTTTTTTTTCTCTCTCTCTGCCTCCGACAGTGCCGCTGAGGCGTTAATATCGTAACTTAACTGACAAGTCAAGTAGAAATATAAAATAAACATGAGTATTCTAAATAAATATTTATATAGTCAGTAAATACTAATGGAAAATTATATTAATAATGATCATATTGCAAATTAAATTATTTCATCTTTAATCGTCATGTAAATAGGATTTAGACTGGAAAATGAGCTAATGATTCAAACAAACTTAATGAAAAAAAATAGAAACAGTGTTAAGGAAGTAGTATCTGGCATGCACTGGGCCCATTAGGTTGTCAGGTTATTCACACGAACGTCTTTTAGTTGTTCAGCTCAAAGTTGCACTTGGATCGCACTCCTCAAGCTTATAGCTGAGTCACCGTTTAGTTTAAACGTAAAGCTGCATATTGGGCCATCCGTGCTGTGCCCGTCGCAGGAATCGAACCTCGAATTTAATGTTGTAAGTCGTCGTGATTACCTTTGAAACATGGGGGCGCTCCAAGAAAGTCTGCACAGAAATATAAATGTTTTTCCTTACTGGGACGGGAATAAGACACTGGTACAAGACAGCCCGTAGACTCTCACTCAAACACGAACCTCACAAAATTCTAGTTTGATTATTCTTAGATCTAGCAGATAAAATCGATTCTAGTTAAGCTCTCAATGACTCCTGAAACGACAACTAGTTCGATGTTAAATCCCCAAAAACCGTGATGTCGCTTAGAAACTTTAATGCTATAAAATAATAATAGAAAATATGTTATAATTCATGCCCTAGTTACTTTTAAAACCAAGTAAACTGTAGTTCAAAATAATGTATCCTGTTACCCGGATTTTGGCATAGATTGAAAGAATGATTCACACAGC